TTTCTTCAAGTCATATCAGCTTTGGGTGTGAAATTAAAACACCAACTAGCTGACACTTCCTGGGTAATTTTTATAAATCCTGTTTATCCCTTTTTCCCACCAAGTACCCTTCAGTTTACTAAGTGCAGGGCTCATAAGTCGTCTTGGAATTAGCTGCTGCAGTTGCTGGTAATTTCTGCGACCAAGCCCACTGTTCAGGATAGACAACGCTGCTCAAAAGAGATTTCTTCCCCTTAGTGCTTGTGCTGCTGAGTTATCATCACTGTCTGCTCAGTTATCATCACTGACTCTGAGGCCCTGGGTTTGGGATTTGGGAAAGCAATCTTTGCACCGCTCAGCCTTAACAGGGCAATTCTGCTTAAGATGGAATTTTTTCTAGTCCTGTAGTGACAGCAGGAGAGAGCCCTACTGAATCCCCCTGTTTCTTTAGAATTCAGCCCACTCTATCATGATGCTCCCCCTTAAAGGCCTTTGTACTTGGTACTCCTTCTGCCCGGGTGTAACCATGAGGTTCACTCCCCACCCTCTGTTGATTCTCTAAGTATCACCTACTCAACAAGGCTTCCCTGACCATCCTGAGAAAGGCACACTGCACCACTCTCCACTTAGTATTCTCTAGCCTCCCTGTATTTTCACCTCCACAGAACTTACTTTCTAATATATGTTATAGTGTATCTACTTGTCGATTTTGCTTTTCTTGGCCTCTTCCCTGGAATATAAACTCCATAAAAGTTGGGATTTTGTCTGTTTCATTCATGTTGGATTCAAACTACCTAGAATGTGCCTAATGCTGAGCAGATGCTAAATAAATATTTATTGGATGAAAAGCACCTGGAAGTATAGCTTTTCTCTGCTTCCTTGCCACCCACGCAAGCTTCAGGGCCTCACAGGACCATTCACCATTAGGCCATAATGGAACTGGGCCCACTTCTCCATGGCAGGACCCAATTTGAAACACATGTGCCCTTCATTTCCCCAGAGAGAAGGTAAGAATTCCTCAGGTCACTTCCCTGCTCCGTTTCCTCTTTCCATGGAAGTGTAGCTTCCCCTCTTCAACTACCTACCCCTTACCCCACTACCAAAGTCCTTTCTCCCTTATTGGGGCTCTAGATTCTGTCCCAACTCCTGTCTTCTGGAGGCCCATGTTTCATATGCAGTATACAATATTTAAAATTTTTCATAATTATCTAACCATGGAAAAGTTGTTTAATATTAACCATTTAATGAGGATGAATTAAGAAATACTAAATCCATATCTATTTATGCATAAAAGTATTTAACCTAAAAATTAATAATGTAATTAACTCATAGCAAATTTGAATAAAATGTCACAACACAAAACCTTTTCAAATAGAGATGTTTTAATATTGAAAAACAACATTAGTGAGTTTTTTCTGTATATATCTTTTGTGATATTAAACATGTACTGTCAAATATATATATCTAAGTGGATAAGAATACAATTATTTTGTCATGAAAAAGCTGTGTTTTCAAAGGCTTTTAATAAGGTAAACAAGAAAGTTCCTCTTAAAAAATGACACTTAGAAGTTAATGGCCTCAAAGTCGTACTCACTAAAGAAGGAAAATAACAACAAATATTAAAAGCCATCTTAACATAAACCTTACTGCAAATATACAATTCTTTTAAACACAGTACATAGAAAAGAGAATAACCTCCAAGACATTACAGCTTTCTTCTCTGGCATGTTCAAGAACAAGTCTGCCTAATGACTGCTGAGTTATAAAATGTCCTACTTGACAAATCCCTCTAGACTGTGCATACATAGCCTTTTACTTTTAAAAGGTCATATAAAAAGATATAAATCAGTTTCTAGAAGAGCTAATATTGGCCCACAACAAAAATTTATTTTAGGTTATTTTAATGTATTAACATAAGGAAATTCCAGTTTAAAAAGTATTTCAAACCAATATGAGGCATTAAAAAATAGCCACTTGGTTAAAGTTAATTTTTTAAAGCTAAAAAAACAAACAAAAAACACCCCTCCCCCCCAAAAAAAACCAGCAATGGTACAACTGACCAATTATGTTTGTTTGTTTGCTTTTTACAAAAATAAATTTACCACCTGCTGGAATCCCAGCCCAGGAACCAGCCTGTGAATGTTGGTGGCTCATGGCCCTGTTTTATGATGACAATTGGCGTCCTCTTGTCTCTTCCAGAAGGGTCTGTCTGAAGGTACATTTTGGCTAAAAAGAGTTGCAAAAACATATGAATTCAGTTAGCCTTGGTTAAACTAAAATAACCACAGAATTAGAATTCTTCCAATAAAAGTAATAAATTTTCATCGCTCTCAAGTAGACACATATGAACAATTTCTTTTTGATTTCTCTCATCTGCTATGGAAAGCATAATGAGTCTCATTAATGCCTGAATTTTATAGAATTATTTTGATGGCATAATCATTGCTATGCTTTAAATAAAAAGAAAATTGTGCCAGAAAGAACAGCATTAAGTTAAAAAAAATCTAAGCTCTCACAGTTACGGAGGTTTTACTATTCTCATATTAAAACAAGGGCTTAAGTGAATTTAAGTTTATCAGAATGAATCAATAAAATTATATTCTAAGTTAAGTAACAAAACATCTTTTTCTTGTGCTCATTCTGAAATTCTTCAGTTTAAAAAAATTCCATTACTCTTCAGTTCTGAAGATGAAAGCTAAGCTACTTCTCAGTTTTGATATGTATTTTTGGAAGATATGTTGGCAAAAAGCAGTCAGGTTACTGCCATAATTGTCCATGGGATCTTACCAGACTTCAAAGATTCTGTCTTCTCAGTTTCATTAGCATCTTTTCCAATCCAAATAAATATCTGAAAAATGAAACAATAACAACATGTTCTTTTTTTGGAGTGTTGGCTCAGCTCTAGGCCTTATGCAAAGTTCTTCACTCTCTCTCTCTCACACACACACACACACACAAACACATTGCTCATTCAATCTTCACAACAACCCCAGAAATTAGGAAGGTGGAGGCCGAAAGAATTCTAATCATTTTCCCACTGTTTACACTTAACAGAAGACACCTAAATTTACATCCAGTTTGACTCCAGATTTCACACTCTGACATTTTATATTCACATGGTATTTTCTAGTTTATGAAGTGATCTTTCACAAAAACAACAGATTGTCTAATTTTTTGGTATCTGTCCCCTGGGACAGTCAAGGCAGTTAAAGGAAACCAAGTATTTCCTCTTAAAATATGCTTTGACGTATTTTCAGATGGTTATTCAGGGGCCTGGAAACAGAAGTAGCCCTGCAAAGCTGGCTTTTGTAGGGGAGATTTGCATCTGTAGAGAAAACCTGTATTGATGCAGGGGGGCTTTCTCTGAGGTCCTCCCTTGTCCAGATATAGGAAAGATTAACTGAGAGTCTGACACCTTTAAAGGTCTGAAAGAAACATTTCCCACGTATTCTCTCAGGGTTGCTACCTGTGACGTTTCATCTATGTAACAAGTCCACCCTTGTTAGCCAGGCCTCCTCTTCTTCTCCTCCCATGACCCACCTTGCCACACTCCAGGGCCCCCCATCTTTCTGTAACCTCGAGCTGCTGTAAAAGCATCAACTATCTGGACATTTCTTTTGAGTTCTTATATTTTGTATGATTCCTGTGCCTAGTAAGAAATTTGTATGCCTTTTCTCCTATTCACCAATCTGCCTCATGTCAGTGAGATTTCCGTGAACCTTTAGGGGGCCAAGAGCCTTGGTCCCTTCAACAGCATAGAAATGTAAATGAAAAGTATGATTTTAAAAATGAAACCAGAATTATTTATATCTGGTAATTTAGTATCAGAAATATTCTCAGGTATTCATGACTATAGAAACAATAGAGTTGGAGTGAAATTTCCCTAACTCCTTCAACTACAAATGAGAATAGTTAAATACTTCTGAATGAGGAAATATAACTCATTTAATTATTAAACGCCCAAAGGTGTTTTATTGATATGAAGTTTTAAATCTCATATCAATATGATCCATTTACTTGGGAAGAATCTGAGACTGCATCCTCAATTCAGATATGGTCATTGTAGACTAGAAGCTAAGGTATAATATAACTAAATGGCTTCTCAATTAGGAACAGACCTAAAGTAACAATCTCTGTCCTTGACGCTAAGATTAGGCCTAATTCAGATAAGCATTTCACACTTGTTCTATATAATTTAGTTCATTACATATTTATTTTTCCTTTCACTATTAATTTACATACGGGATAAAATAACCATAAGATGTGGCATGTCAAATCACGATTTGTTTCCTCCAAAATTAAGATATATATAAGAGTAACATATTTTACTATGTAGATTCAAAGCTATTCTGTTTCTTCCTCAGGGAAGGGGTCCCCTATGACTCCTTGTCAAGTTTCAAGAGAAATTCTGAATATTTGTACCCCTGTGGCATTGTGCACATCAATGCACTCATCAGTTAAATGAATCATGAATAAATTAGGAGTGAGGGAATTTTACAAATAAATGAAAAATAAAAGGTTTTTGGCAACAACTGAAAAGCCAAAAATGGAAGCCATGGAATTATTTTCACAGCAAGAAATCAACTTGCAATATTTATCAGTTTTATTTTTTGCCAAACTCTTGTTGAGTTTCTTTCAAATACAGCTTAAATGTCTAAGCCCATTTATTATTAGACTTGCCATTTTTCAAAGTAGGTTCTGTCAGTTCCCAACTAAAAGTGCATTCTTTTGTGAACAAAGTATAGTTTTACCTGTTCCCAAGTATCTAGTAACATGACATCATCTTCTGCTAAATCATCCTGAGTGAACTCTCCTGGAACCTCTTCAATCTGAAATGTATGAAAAGTTTTATGGCCAAACAGTAAATCAGTAATTTTTCTAATATATAGGATACAAATGCCATGTATTATTTTTGAATACAGTGAAAATAAAACATGGTAGTCATTTTTTTCTTCCTTTCTAGGTAATAAACATTTAACTAACATTTAAACATTTAACTAATTGTTCGTCTGTTTCATTTGGTATCACAAACTAATGGTATCTTATTTGGCTAGCACAGTGCTTAATATTGCACATTGAATTTGTGAATTTAAATAATTCAAACTTAAAGCTGTTAGAACCTTAGATTATTCTGAGCCTCGAGAGCTATATATGGCCTGAGTCACCAGGCACGCAGCTGCAACTTCTGCCTTTTCTTTTCTGTAAAGAATTAGGAAAACCAAACAGTGTCAGAGATAAGAACCTCTCAGATCACTACCCTTCCTCCTGGAGTAATAATCTTCCTTGGAATGTTGCAAACTGTAATCAATCAAATCATTATAATGAATGCACTGGTTGTGTATGGAAAATGTAACCCTGCTAAGATTTCTCTGTTTCTGCCTATATCAGGGAAACCTTAAATTCACTTTGGAATTCTGACCCCATTCATTTGGAGTTGCTATTTCCCAGGTGGCTAATCCTGATGCTTTGTATTCGAATAAACTCTATATTTAATCATATTTTCTGAATCTCATCATTTAAGCTTGACACATTTGAATGCCCAGGTAAGACATATATTCTATATGCTCACAATTCTCTGTACTTACAGTTCCTTACGAAAAGTTGTTACACAGATTTATGTCATCTGCATGGTCCATGAAGACATTTTAGTTTATGGTCTGAGTACCAAATTGTCTTCCATCTTGTAGGTCAAGATTAGTTTTTAAAAGTCGATAGGTTTGGTCATTATAATAAATCAATAATTTTCAAAAAGATGACATTATAACACAATATTTCATATTTCCTGTTGATTCCAATTAATTTGTAGGTGCATATATAGCGCTCTGTGATTTTGCCCAATGATCAAAATATTTCCATAGTATTTTTTATTCCATTGACACAGTAAAAATTTTTATTCCCCTGGGAAAATTACATGTAAAATTTACATAGTTTGATCAGAAACAACTATTGCTGCCCACAGAAAGTGTGAAGTTATTAAATTAGCAAATCTAACCACATACATAGTCATACAGCATCTACTGCATGCTGACATGAGTGTAAAGTAGCTGATATTTTTGAAAGCAGTTCAATTTATATAGTGCATTACAATATTAAGGCTTTCATATCCACTATATCACTGACCCTTAAAACTACCCTGTGTAGAGAAAAGATTGTCATCTGTGGTTGGCAGGTAAGCTGAAACTGAGAATGAGAAAAGTAACACGTCTTGGAAGTGTCAGAGCCAACATGGGAATGCCTCTCCCAATGTTGTTAGGGTCTATCTCACTGTTTTTAAAGACACTTACAATGAATCTTCCAGTTTTGTTAGAGCAGCCGTAAAGACGAGGTGGATGGTCTTCAGCCTGGGTTTCTAGTAGTGGTGAGGTCTGGTAGTCTTTTTTTCCTCCAAGGGAATCCCAGAACTCCTCTGTGAAAAACACATTCAGTTATCCAGTGCATTTTTAGGAGCATATGGTTGGTATTGCTTTACATTAACAAATAACATCTCACACCTTGACTTTATGGTAAGAAGTTACTTAAACACACTCAGTACCATCACCCACTTTTGCAACTAAGGAAGGGTTTCTTCACCCCTATAAGCCATTACAAAGTGACCTGTTAATGAAAAAGTTGATTAGCAATCATATCAAATATAAATTCTGTTTAGTGTCATTGGCCCCACAGCACACACCTGGTTCCTCGCCTTCCCGAATCCTTAAGGTTTGGCACTTGAGGACACATGCTACGTACTTTGCTCCTTTCTCCTCCTCCTCGCTAGCACCTTTTCCTATCCAGATGTAGCCACTATTTTGTGGCAGTTTCAAGACAAAAACATCATTGGAATTCAGTGAATTTGCATCAACATCAACCTAGAGTATGAAGAAAAATAACACAATGATTCAAATTCTTTGCTGCTCCCTCAATAAATACGTACCAGAAGCTGTGACTATGACAAACCATTCACAGCCTTCTGTCCTATCCCCAGAAACTAATTCAGGGCAGCCCTGGGACACCACTATGGTGTTTGAAACATTAGAGTAGGGGCATTTTGGTCTGTGTCCCTCCAATGCTCAAGTGCTCCCAAACAGCAGTAGCACAAGCCTCCAAGAATAACATTAATCAAATGTAACTGATAAGAATTGAGGGTTTTGGAAAGTAACAAGGATAATATTCAAAGATACCAATAAGAACAGGGTGGGCTATAATTGACGATTCGAAAGAGGGCATAGTATTCATAAGTGACACAATGAAAGCAAAGGTTTTCAGTTTTTTCCTCCTCCACTTAAGACACAGTTTATCAAATAATCAACCGGAAACCTAAAAAAACAGGGACTGGAGTCCAATGTAAGCAACGAGGTAATACTATACATTCACTGAGAGATTCTTCAGGCACAGATTAATTATAGCTTAAATTAGAAAAGACCACTTATAGGGAATTTAAGGCACAGCACTAACATACTCCTTCCTTCCAACTGAGAAGCTGTGGACACTGTCTGGAATCTAACAGGTGAGCATAGTTGTAGTCCATGTGCCACAGAGGAGTGAGAGGGACCTGGCTGGGTCTAGACTCTGTCCCAGGTTGAAGCTGAAGGTGCAATCTCTGAACAGGGACAAGGCACGTGCAGAGTCTCAGGCTTGGCAGTGAGCACGAAGGTCCTAGGATGGGCTTGTGTCTATGTTCTGATTTGGTGATTTTGTGTCTGTCTCTGTGAGAACTTGCCCAGCCGTATGATTGTGTTGCTACACCACTGTGTATGACTTTATGCATAATTGTGGAACTGAATGTGATGTGTGATAGCAAAGACAGGAAGAAGAGCCAGTAACCAAGACTGAGACATTGCAGCCGAGAGGGAAGAGGAAAACAAGAGAATGTGGTGATCTTGAGGCCAAGTGAAGAAAATCTGTCAAGAAGGCTGGGGTGATCTGCTGTGCCAAATGATGCTACTTGGCCAACCACACTAAACTGCCAGGACGAAGGCATCAGCTATGTGGAAAGTTGAATTTCATTAGGTTTGTTGGGACCCTGTCCCCAGAGAGAACACTAGAGGAGGAAGGAACAGCTGTTGGAAGTTTTAAAGACATGTCTCAAGGATTGGTACCATTCAGGGAAGTGGTTATGGTACTCTACCAGAAGGAATGAGACCTAACAGACAAAGGTCAAAGGAATCTATAAGATGCGGTGATGAAGAATTACACAAACTAAGTCTGGCTTCAGGGCTTCCAATTTCTAATCCTTATGTGTCCTTGTTGGTACAAAGGCAAGAGCCAGGATGATGGAGGGAAAGTGGCAAGAGGCCTGTGCCAAGATTGGGGTGAGATCAGGGAGGGAGACCTACAACGTAACATTTTTAAAGCTTTAGCCTGCCAGGAGAGGAAGACAGAAAACCTTATAAAATGATCTTGACTAGTGCATTTTCAGAGAGGCTGGGAATGTGGAAGCTGGATTGAGAGGCTGCAAAGAAATGAGGAGATGCAGTGCAAGCCACTGATGATGCCTCATAAAGAAATGCGTACTGGGAAAGAGATCAGGAACATAACAATATTACATATATATTTTTTGACACAGAGTCTCACTCTTTTGCCCGGGCTAGAGTGAGTGCTGTGGCGTCAGCCTAGCTCACAGCAACCTCAGACTCCTGGGCTCAAGCAATCCTTCTGCCTCAGCCTCCGGAGTAGCTGG